GTGGAGCTCCCTATGGGGCCACGAAGCGCTGCCCTGGGTGGGGGGACCGCATGCGAACGCCCCCGCTTGGGCCTTCGGTGGAGCTCCCTATGGGGCCACGAAGCGCTGCCCTGGGTGGAGAAACCGCATGCGAACGCCCCCACTGGGGCCTTCGGTGGAGCTCCCTACGGGGCCGCGGGGCGCTGTCCTGGGTGGGGGAACCGCATGCGAGAGCAGCCGCAGTGGGGCCTTCGGTGGAGATGGGGCCACGAAGCGCTGCCCTGGGTGTGGGAACCGCATGCGAACGCCCCCGCTTGGGCCTTCGGTGGAGCCCCCTATGGGGCCACGAAGCGCTGCCCTGGGTGGGGGGACCGCGTGCGAACACCACCAGTGTGGTCTTCGGTGAAGCTCCCCATGGGGCCACGAAGCGCTGCCCTGGGTGGTGGTGGTGGTGGTGGCTGTGGCGGTGGTGGTGGCGGTGGTGGTGGTGGTGGTGGTGGGTGGGTGGGGTGGGGGGGGGGGGGGGGGGCGCATGCGAACGCCCCCCGCTGGGACCTTCGGTGGAGCCCCCTACGGGGCTACGAAACGCGCGAGAGGTGCGCCGAGAGCAAAGGCAAGGATGGGGGGGGAGGGAGGAGGGGGAGGAGGGAGGGGGGAGGAGGGAGGAGGGGGAGGAGGAAGGAAGGAAGGAGAGACGCGGGGCACCGTCTCTTTAAAACGACGACCCAACACCACAGGATGGTTGGGAAACAACCTAGTGTACCCGAGCTTCCTGAGCCCTCGCGCACACTGTCGGCTCCGTTGGTCGCCATCCGCACTTCGGGCAACGCAGGTGCGCTGCCTTCTCATACTTGTCTGGGGTCTTGTACTCCGAGTCATCGCCGTGGTCCAGATCACCGAAGAGGCTCTCGACGTCCGCATCGGCCTTATCTGGTATTTTTTGTTGGTGGTTGGTCGGCTTGAGGGTGTAGGTACACTGCCAATTGCGATATGGGAGGGCCGCTTCCCTCCACTCCTTCTCCGTCTTCTCGCGTTGTCCTGCCGTGGTAGAGGTCTTCCACAGCAGGGGTCGGTAAAGCTTATCTTTGGGAGTGACCCATACGGCCTTCCTATACTTCGCACTAGGGCCCGTGAGTAATGTCCACCTGCCTTCAGTAACCTTCCACATTCAGATGTCCACGGTCATGCTCTTCGATGTGGCTCGGACCCCCAGCATGCCGACGCTCTTGCCCGTAGCCCCCAGGCGTTCAGCGTCCTTTTTCGTGGCCCCGTACTTCAGCAAATGCTGATTGATATCGATCGAGCCCTTCTGTCGTACTGCAGCTTGAGTTCTTCCGCCACCGCTCATATCATCATATGTGAAGGGCTCGGAGTTCGTTCTCAATGCGTGCATCTGGAATCCTGCGCCTAGGAACATATCCTGGCGAAGGACCCAGCCATATGCAATTGTGAATACCGCAATTGTGAATATCTTCTTCGGTGGCGCTCCCTATGGGGCCACGAAGCGCGTGAGGGGTGTGCCGAAATGGGTGCGCGGGACGCGTGCGGGCACACCCACTGGGGCCTTCGGCGGAGCTCCTATGGGGCCACGAAGCGTGTGAACGGTGTGCTGAAATGGGTGTGCGGGACGCATGCGGGCACACCCACTGGGACCTTCGGTGGAGCCCCCTACGGGGCCACGAAACGTGCGAGGGGTGTGCCGACATGGGTGTGCGGGACGCATGCGGGCACACCCACTGGGGCCTTCGGTGGAGCTCCCTATGGGGCCACGAGACGTGTGAGGGGCCGACATGAAGCGGGGCCTTCGGTGGAGCTCCCTATGGGGCCACGAAACGTGTGAGGGGTGTGCCGAAATGGGTGTGCGGGACGCATGCGGGCACACCCACTGGGGCCTTCGGTGGAGCTCCCTATGGGGCCACGAAACGTGTGAGGGGTGTGCCGAAATGGGTGTGCGGGACGCATGCGGGCGGCAGCCACTGGGGCCTTCGGCGGAGCTCCCTATGGGGCCACGAAGCGTGTGAGGGGTGTGCCGAAATGGGTGTGCGGGACGCATGCGGGCACACCCAACGGGACCTTCGGTGGAGCTCCCTTTGGGCCACGAAACGTGTGAGGGGTGTGCCGAATTGGGTGTGCGCGCATGCGGGCGGCAGCACTGGGGCCTTCGGCGGAGCTCCCTAGGGGGGCCACGAAACGTGTGAGGGGTGTGCCGAATTGGGTGTGGCGTGACGCATGCGGGCGGCAGCACTGGGGCCTTCGGCGGAGCTCCTATGGGGCCACGAAACGTGTGAGGGGTGTGCCGAATTGGGTGTGCGTGACGCGTGCGGGCGGCAGCACTGGGGCCATCGGCGGTGCTCCTATGGGGCCACGAAGCGTGTGAGGGGTGTGCCGAAATGGGTGCGCGGGACGCGTGCGGGCGGCAGCACTGGGGCCTTCGGCGGAGCTCCATATGGGGCCACGAAGCGTGTGAGGGGTGTGCCGAGATGGGTGTGCGGGACGCGTGCGGGCGGCAGCACTGTGGCCTCCGGCGGAGCTCCCCATGGGGCCACGAAACGTGTGAGGGGTGTGCCGAATTGGGTGCGCGTGACGCCCGCGGGCGACAGCACTGGGGCCTTCGGCGGAGCTCCTAGGGGGCCACCAAACGTGTGAGGGGTGTGCCGACTTGGGTGTGGGTGACGCATGCGGGCGGCAGTACTGGGGCCTTCGGTATAGCTCCCTATGGGATCGCATAACGTGTGGGGGGTGTGCCGAATTGGGTGTGCGTGACGCGTGCGGGCGGCAGCACTGGGGCCATCGGCGGGGCTCCTATGGGGCCACGAAACGCGTGAGGAGTGTGCCGATTTGGGTGTGCGTGACGCGTGCGGGCGGCAGCACTGGGGCCTTCGGCGGAATTCCCTATGGGGCCACGAAACGTGTGAGGGGTGTGCCGAATTGGGTGTGCGTGACGCATGCGGGCGGCAGCACCAAGGCCTTCGGCGGAGCTCCTATGGGGCCACGAAGCGTGTGAGGGGTGTGCCGAATTGGGTGTGCGTGACGCATGCGGGCGGCAGCACTGGGGCCTTCGGCGGAGCTCCTATGGGGCCACGAAACGTGTGAGGGGTGTGCCGAATTGGGTGTGGGTGACGCATGCGGGCGGCACTGGGGCCTTCGGCGGAACTCCCTAGGGGCCACGAAACGTGTGAGGGGTGTGCCGAATTGGGTGTGGGTGACGCATGCGGGCGGCAGCACTGGGGCCTTCGGCGGAGCTCCTATGGGGCCACGAAACGTGTGAGGGGTGTGCCGAATTGGGTGTGGGTGACGCATGCGGGCGGCAGCACTGGGGCCTTTGGTGGAGCTCCTATGGGGCCACGAAGCGTGTGAGGGGTGTGCCGAATTGGGTGGGGGTGACGCATGCGGGCGGCAGCACTGGAGCCTTTGGTGGAGCTCCTATGGGGCCACGAACGTGTGAGGGGTGTGCCGAATTGGGTGTGGGTGACGCATGCGTGCGGCAGCACTGGGGCCTTCGGCGGAGCTCCTATGGGGCCACGAAAGATGTGAAGGGGTGTGCCGAATTGGGTGTGTGTGACGCATGCGGGCGGCAGCACCAAGGCCTTCGGCGGAGCTCCTATGGGGCCACGAAGCGTGTGGGGGGTGTGCCGTATTGAGTGTGGGTGACGCATGCGGGCGGCAGCACTGGGGCCTTCGGCGGAGCTCCTATGGGGCCACGAAACGTGTGAGGGGTGTGCCGAATTGGGTGTGAGTGACGCATGCGGGCGGCAGCACTGGGGCCTTCGGCGGACCTCCCTATGGGGCCACGAAACGTGTGAGGGGTGTGCCGAATTGGGTGTACGTGACGCGTGCGGGCGGCAGCACTGGGGCCTTCGGCGGAGCTCCTATGGGGCTACGAAACGCTGTACTGGGTGGGTGAAACGCAGGGAAGAGGGGGAGGAGGGAGGAGGAGGGGGAGGAGGAGGAGAGGAGAGGAGAGGAGAGGAGAGGAGAGGAGGACGCGGGGCTGTCTCTTCACAACGAGGACCCAACACCACAGGATGGTTGGGAACAAATCGCCTCCCCCACCCTTGTCCAACTCGTCCATGTGGTTGCGCCAAGGAGGAGCTTGGTCGCGCACGCCGGGTACTTTGGCAGAGGGGGTCCTCTTTCCCAGGTGGTGGTGGACGCCGTGCGCCTTGCGGCTGAGGAGCGTCTCCTGGGGCTGGAGGGTCGCTGATGTCGTCATCCGAGGACATCGTGGCATCCTGCGGGACGTGCTTCGGTGCTGCCACTCCCTACGCTCTGCGGGGCTTGGCACCTTCTGGTTTGGGATGTGTACGTGCCGTGGCCTTCGCCAGTGATAGGATAATCCCAGAAGAGAATCTGTACGTAGTGTCGGCTGCTCCTCTCGAGGCAGGGATATCTGCCCTGCAGAACCAGAGCCATCCGCTTGTCCTGACAATGTTTGCGATATTCGAGAAACCTTTATCCGTCGCCCAACGCTGCAGTTGGATAGGATCACTCCAGTCCGCTGGGGCACGTTGTACACTCCATCTCGGCAGCACGTCCTGCACCGACAAGACCTTCTCCGACACGATACCGAGCGGGGCGTCGTGGGAGGGGCGGTGGACCAGGCGGCCAGCAACAGGTTTAGCTACCGAGCGAACTCTCGTCATGTAGGTGTCTGCCTCCTCCTCATCTCGCTTTTTGAACCATCGAGGGATGATCGCCGTCTTCTGAAGATTGGGGAATATCCCAAAGGCAGTTCCATCTTCAAGAAACGATGGAGCTCGGACGTTTAGATCACCAACAACATCGTGATCTCTGACTGATAGTTGATCGCACCCTGGGTGCGCAGGATGGCTTGGCACAGGGTTGCATTGAACACTAGCGATGCAAGACTCACTGGGTTTTGAGATGCCCTGCCGTAAAGATCGTCCGCGCAAAATTCCTTGGCAATGAGTCTGCACACCGAGATTGGACACATTGGTCGACGGCGGCGGCAACGACGTCGACGGCGGCGGCGACGACGACGGCAGCGACGACGGCGGCTCCTCGGGGAGGCCTGGGCCCCCCGCTTCCCGGAGCTCGACGCCGAAGCCGCCGTCGGGCACGCTGGCGGGCGCCGGCCGGCTGCTCCGGCGTGGTTCCTCTGAGCTGACGGGCAACGACAGGGGGGGGATAGGCATAGGGGGGCGCATCGACCTCGAACGGCCGATACATCCACCACGCATCGTCCATACATCGCCAATACATCGCCCTGAGATCAACGATGCGTTGTCGATGTACTAACCATTCGAGGTCGATGCCTCCCCCCCTATGCCTATTCTCCCCTATCGTTGCCCCCGATGGGCGCTGGCAGTGAGCAAGTGGGCGACGACCTCGACGGCGGCGTGCCCCCTCTGAGGCCTTGGCGCCGCAACTTCTGCACACCGACCGTTTCTGCTCGGTTTCGGGCCTCGACGCAGTCGGACCTGGGACCCAGGCTAGACGAGCATGCTTCAAGAGCATGAAGCCCTCCGTCGGCCAAGACTAACGGAACATTCAAGGGTACCCCTCCCCAGGATGCACAAGAACATCCAACAAACACCGCAGACACTAGGGTACTCTCCCCGAGCCGACCTCGATCTTATACCTCGGGCTGGCTGTAAACCCATCAACAAAAAAAGCCCTGATCGTGATCTTTCGCGATGTTGCAATTTTGTTCGCAAGGTCGAATCTGAAGGCCCCACCTCCTTCCACCGTGAAAAAATAATGTCGGGCAGCCTTTGTCAGTGTTCAGCTCATGGGGGCCCTTACGGGGTCCCGGGGCCGTCCAGAAACGCCTCGGGGTGGAAAACGGGCCCTCCGGGAAGGGGTCCAGACTCTGGGGGTCCACGCTGCGAGCAGAATCGCGACGTCGGAGTTCTGGATCGCCGATGTCGTCGGTGACGCAGCCGTTCTGGGCCTTTCTTGGAGGGGGGAGCGTTCTGGCTCCCGTCGGCACGGCCGAACGCGGCTCGGCGAGGGACTCCAAAGGCTGAAGAGGACCCACAACCTTCCGTGCTGATTTTTGTGCACGACGCGAGCACGTCTGGGGATAATGGCTGTGCGCCCCACCAAGAATAACGCAGCGCGGGGAGGGGTCGGCTTCACCGCCGCCGCCGCCGCCGTCTTCGGTATCGTCGTCGGTATCGTCGTCGTCGTCGTCGTCGTCGTCGTCGTCGTCGTCGTCGTCGTCGTCGTCGTCGTCGTCGTCGTCGTCGTCTTCCTTTACGCGCCACGGTTTACAAGACAACAGAGAAAGGACAAGGAGCGAGGGCCCAGGCTTGAGGAGGCCATGGGGGCGGGAACGAAGGGCAGGACAAGGACGCATGGGGGGCCGAACCGTCAGCGCGGCTGCAGCAGAGGGAAGGTGGCAGGGGGCAAATGACCACGACGATAGTGGCGGGAGGGGACCGAAGAGTGTTGCTCTTGTCGGTGGTACGCTAAAGAGTCAGCCATACCTACGCCATGTCGCCACGGCGCTCGGACAAACTACCAAACCTGCTTATACATATGACATATTGCGGAAACCGCACAGGCGCCGCCGCGGCAGCACGTGCCGGACCTCTTCCCCTGGTTCGTCGTCCTCCTCCTCCTCTTCCTCTTCCACCTCGTCTTCCCCTTCCTCCTCTTCCGCCTCGTCCTCCTCCTCCTCCTCCTCCTCGTCCTCTTCCATCTCTTTTTTCCCTTCCTCCTCTTCCGCCTCTTCCTCCGCGTTTCCTCCTCCGCCGCCTCTGGACCCCTCAACATGGCGAAGTCTCATCTGAATGTAAGTTAGACGTCACTCCGCTGGGCCCCCCAGCAACCTTCGGAAGTGGCAACAGTTTGGCAGATCGCAGCCCCATGGGGATGGGCGAGGTTTCCTGGTGGTCTGGGTAAGACGTCACTCCGCTGGACCCCCCAGCAGCCCTCGAAAATGCCGACAGCTTCGCAGATTTCAACACCCAAGAGATGGCGAGGTCTTGTTTGAGTCTGGATAAGACGTCACTCCGCTGGACCCCCAGCAACCCTCGAAAGTGGCTACAATTTCGCAGATCGCAGTCCCACGGGGATGGCCAGGTAGGAGGCAAGCTGGCACGCAGGATGGAGACAGGTAAGAGGCAGGAGATAAGGGGAAAGGAGGAGGGGGGCGGGAGAAGGAGAAGACGCGCGGACAGTGTTCTGTTCAAAACGGATACCCAACGCAGGAGGGTTGGGAAAAACTGCCTCCAAGACGCCTCCGAGACGCCTCCCATGAGACCCCATCAGCCATCCGAGTGGCCTCGGACCCGCAACCCAAGCACGGCGGCGGGATGTGCCGAAGGCCATTCGATAATCATTCGCCGGGTGTTTTGGCAGATGCCCTCCGTCTTCATACGCGGGTTCTCGCCCCATTCCCATGCGTGCACGGCGAATGCTGAGATTGTCAGCCCAAGAGGCCCCGAAAAGGCCCCCTATGAAGCTCCAAATGAGCTCCAAGAAATCCCCCAAAGGCGCACAAGAGGCCCTCAGGAGCAACACGCAACAACCGCCAATTCCCCAAAGGGTCAGCGGTGCGGCGTAAGCCAAGAATCCACGTCCGGAGGTGACGTGCTGAGCGGCAGCGTTTTTCGGCGAACGCCTTAATGCACCGTATCCAATGTATCCAAAGATTCTATAATTGCAACATATTGTATTGTGTTACATTCTTATGTCTCCCCCTACCCCCCCCTGGGAGCCGCGCCACAGCGCCGTACCAGACTGATCGCCCCCTTTCTGGGGCCCTCAAAACATTCAAAAACCCATTGGGAAATCAACAAATTCGGCCTCTTGGGCCTCTTGGGGGGCCACGAGGGCGCCAAGACGGCTCAAGATGGTCCCAAGAGAGCCCAAAAAGCCCCAATGACGGCCCGAGAGGGCCCCAAGAGCGCCCACAACTGCGCCTCCATACGCCAAAATCATTGATTTTCCTATGGCTTTGGCGATATTTCAGCGTTCTCTCCGCTGCGGCCCAAACAGCTTCCAAAATCGCCCCAGAACAACCCAAAAAGTCCCCAAGAGGGCCCCAAGACGGCCCAAGAGGGCCCCAAGAGGCCCCCGAGACGGTCCAAGAGGCCCCTAAGACTGCCCAAAAGGACCCCAAGAGGGCCCCAAGGCGGCCGCGAGAGGCCCCCAAGACGGCCTCCGAAGAGGCGAAACGGCAGAGAAACGCCCCAAGACGGCCCAGGACGCCTGCAATAGGCCCCAAGAGGCCCCCAAGACGCCCCCAAGGGGCCCTAAGGAGCCCCCATAAGGCCTCCAAGAAATCTCCAAAAAACTTCCAAAAGGCCTCATAGAAGCCCCCCAAAGCCCACACAGCGACTGGAGTGCAATGCCATTTTCCCCCCCTGGGCGAAGTGCGGCGCGGCGCCAGCCAGGTGGAAGTTGGTCACGGCGGCGCTGGATATGGGATATGGGGGGGGCGCCCCAAAGACGTCCCCAAAACAGCCCTAGACGCCCCCCCGAAACTCCCGAGAACCCCCAAAACGACTTCACTGTACGCACTCCGGACGTGCACCCCGCGAAGCGAAAGGAATCCACGTCCGGAAGTGACGTGCTGAGCGGCAGCGTTTTCTGCGAAGGCGATAATGCAACGTATCTGTTGTATCCAATCGTTGTATAATTGCCACAGATCGTATTGTTTTACATTCTTATGTCTACCCCCCTAACCCCCTTTGGAGTCGCGCCACTCCGCCGTACCAAGGTGGTGGCCTCCTTTTCGGGTTCTCAAAACCTGGGAAAAATTAGCCTGGCGAAAAACCCAACCATATGCAGTTGTCAGTACCGCAGCTGCGGGTTTCATCTTCAGTGGAACTCCTCATAGGACTACGGAACGTGTGCCGCGATGGGTGCCACTGGGGCATTCGGCGAAGTTCCGTATGGGGACATGAAACACGCGCGGGGCGTGCCGACATGGGTGGCGGAAACGCATGTGAGGGCCGCCACTCGGACCTCCAGTGGAGCTTCATTTGGGTCCCCGAAACATGATGCTGCTGCGGGGGGGGGGGCCGGGATGGGTGGCGGAGACGCATGTAAGCGCCGCTACTGGGGCCTTCGGTGGAGCTCCCTATGGGGCCACGAAGCGCGTGAGGGGTGTACTGGGATGTGTGGCGGGGACGCATGTGAGCGCCGCCACTGGGGCCTTCGGTGCAGCTCCCTATGGGGCCACGAAACGTGTGAGGGGTGTGCCGAATTGGGTGCGGGTGGTGACGCATGCGGGCGGTGCCACTGGGGCCTTCGGTGGAGCTCCCTATGGGGCCACGAAACCTGTTGTTGTGAGGGGCGTGCCGGGATGGGTGGCGGGGACGCATGTGAGCGCGGCCGCTGGGGCCTTCGGTGGAGCTCCCTATGGGGCCACGAAACGTGTGAGGGGTGTGCCGAATTGGGTGGGTGTGGGTGACGCATGTGAGCGCCGCCACTGGGGCCTCCGGTGGATGATGGGGCCACGAAACCTGTCAGGGATGTGCCGAAATGGGTGTGCGGGACGCATGCGCATGTGAGCGCCGCCACTGGGGCCTTCGGTGGAGCTCCCTATGGGGCCACGAAGCGTGTGAGGGGTGTGCCGAATTGGGTGTGCGTGACGCATGCGGGCGGCAGCACTGGGGCCTTCGGTGGGGCTCCCTATGGGGCCACGAAACGTGTGAGGGGTGTGCCGAATTGGGTGTGCGGGACGTGGGTGTGGGTGACGCATGCGGGCGGCAGCACTGGGGCCTTCGATGGGGCTCCCTATGGGGCCACGACGAAACGTGTGAGGGGTGTGCCGAATTGGGTGTGCGTGACGCATGCGGGCGGCAGCACTGGGGCCTTCGGCGGGGCTCCCTATGGGGCCACGAAACGTGTGAGGGTGTGCCGAATTGGGTGTGCGTGACGCATGCGGGCGGCAGCACTGGGGCCTTCGGCGGAGCTCCCTATGGGGTCACGAAACGTGTGAGGGGTGTGCCGAATTGGTGTGCGTGACGCATCCACGAAACGTGTGAAACGTGTGAGGGGTGTGCCGAATTGGGTGTGGGTGACGCATGCGGGCGGCAGCACTGGGGCCTTCGATGGGGCTCCCTATGGGGCCACGACGAAACGTGTGAGGGGTGTGCCGAATTGGGTGTGCGTGACGCATGCGGGCGGCAGCACTGGGGCCTTCGGTGGGGCTCCCTAAGGGGCCACGAAACGTGTGGGGGGTGTGCCGAAATTGGTGTGCGGGTGACGCATGCGGGCGGCAGCACGGGGCCTTCGTGGGGCTCCCTATGGGGCCACGAAGTGTGAGGGGTGTGCCGAATTGGGGTGTGCGGGACGCATGCGGGCGGCAGCACTTGGGCCTTCGGTGGGGCTCCCTATGGGGCCCCGAAACGTGTGAGGGTGTGCCGAATTGGGTGTGCGGGACGCATGCGGCGGCAGCACTGGGGCCTTCGGTGGGGTTCCCTATGGGGCCACGAAACGTGTGAGGGGTGTGCCGAATTGGGTGTGCGTGACGCATGCGGGCGGCAGCGCTGGGGCCTTCGGTGGGGTTCCCTATGGGGCCACGAAACGTGTGAGGGGTGTGCCGAATTGGGTGTGCGTGACGCATGCGGGCGGCAGCACTGGGGCCTTCGGTGGGGCGTGCCGAAAAAGGGGGTGGAACCGCATGCGAGCGCAGCCACTGGGGCCTTCGGTGGAGTTCTCTATGGGGCCACGAAACGCGTGAGGGGTGTGCCGAATTGTGTGGGTGACGCATGCAGGCGGCAGCACTGGGGCCTTCGGCGGAGCTCCTATGGGGCCACGAAGCGAGTGAGGGGTGTGCCGGATTGGATGTGGGTGACGCATGCGGGCGGCAACACTGGGGCCTTCGGTGGAGTTCTCTATGGAGCCACAAAACGTGTGAGGGGTGTGCCGACATGGGTGTGGGTGACGCATGCGGGCGCGGGCACTGGGGCCTTCGGTGGAGCTCCCTATGGAGCCACGAAACGTGTGAGGGGTGTGCCGAAATGGGTGTGGGTGACGCATGCGGCCGCGGGCACTGGGGCCTTCGGTGGAGCTCCCTATGGAGCCACGAAACGTGTGAGGGGTGTGCCGAAATGGGTGTGGGTGACGCATGCGGGCGCGGGCACTGGGGCCTTCGGTGGAGCTCCCTATGGAGCCACGAAACGTGTGAGGGGTGTGCCGAAATGGGTGTGGGTGACGCATGCGGCCGCGGGGGGCCTTCGGTGGAGCTCCCTATGGGGCCGCATGCGGCGCGGGCACTGGGGCCTTCGGTGGAGCTCCCTATGGAGCCACGAAACGTGTGAGGGGTGTGCCGAAATGGGTGTGGGTGACGCATGCGGTGTGAGGGGTGTGCCGAAATGGGTGTGGGTGACGCATGCGGGCGCGGGCACTGGGGCCTTCGGTGGAGCTCCCTATGGAGCCACGAAGCGGTGTACTGGGTGGGTGAAGAGGAGAGGAGGAGAGGAGGGGAGGAGAGGAGAGGAGAGGAGAGGAGAGGAGAGGAGAGGAGAGGAGAGGAGAGGAGAGGAGAGGAGAGGAGAGGAGAGGAGACGCGGGGCACCGTCTCTTCAAAACGAAGACCCAACACCACAAGATGGTTGGGATAAACAAAGGAAATCGACGATTTGGGCCTCTGGGGCCTCGCGGGACTTCAAGAGGGCCTCAAAATGGCCCAAGATGGCCCCAATACGGCCCAAGACGGCCCTGGATGGTCCCAAGAGGGCCCGTGAGGCCCCCAAGACGGCTCAAGGGGGCCCCAAGAGGACTCGAAAGAGCGCCTCCAGGAGCCAAAATCATTGATTTCCCGTTTGTGGTTGAAAGATGTTAATGCTCTCGCCTTTAACAGCTTTCAGAAGACCATGACGGCCCAAGCAGTCTCCAAGAAGCCCTCAAGACGGCCAAACAAGGCCCCCAAAGGGGCCCCAGGATTGCTCAAGAGGGTCCCGAGACTGCCAAAAGAGGCCCCCAAAACAGTCCAAGGGGCCCCCAAGGCGGCCCAAGAGGACTCCAAGAGAGCCCTGAGACGAGAGGCCTCCAAGATGGCCTCCGAAGGGGCCAGGCGGCGAAAGAGCGCCCCAAGCCAGCGCAAGACGTCAACAAGAAGCCCCAAAAGGCCCCAAAGCGGCCCCAAAGACGCTCCAAGAAACCCCCACGAGGCTTTCAAGAGGTTCCTAAGAGCCCCCAGTGAGGCCGCCCAGAAGCCCTGGGGATTGCAGGACGGAGCGGCACGCACGGCAACAGCGCAGGTCACGCCAACCAGCGCCCACACCGTGGCCCACACACTCCACATTTGAACTCTTTTCCACAGCGGCGACTACGGCCGCGAGAGGCCCCAGACCGGCCTCGAGAGACCGGCCTCCGAATGGGCCACACGCCGCAAGAGCGGCCCAACACGGCCCAAGACGCCCCCAGGAGGCCCCAAAAGGCCCCAAAGAAGCCCTGTGCAGAAGAGGCCCCAAGAAGCCCTCAAAAGGCGCACAAAAGGCCACAAAGAAGCTCCCAAGAGGCCCCGTCCGGACGTGCACCCCGCGAAGCGAGAGCAATCCACGTCCGGAAGTGACGTGCTGAGCGGCAGCGTTTTCTGCAAAAGGCGATAGTGCAACGTATCTGTTGTATCTAACCGTTGTATTTTTGCTCGACCATCCGAGCTGTGCTCGAAAGGTCAGCGCGCATTCCGAGTGCCAAGGCGTGACTGCGCCCGACGTCCCCGATGCAAATGACAGCAGCAGCAGCGGCGTCTGGACACCGTCGGCCACGGGAACACAGGACAGGTGCGGAATCCGAATGCGTCTCAATGATGATGGTAGGGCCGTCCAGCAGCACCCCACCGATGCAGGAAAAAGAAACCGCAGCGGCAGCGCTTCTGACTACCTGCCAGACCACCCCAACCCAACCCGAAGACCCGAATTTCGGGTTGGGGGGGGTAAGGGTTCCACACGTGTTTTTTCGACGTTTCCCGACCCCCCCCCACTGGAAATCGAGGGTAAATCTGAGCCTTCGGGTTGGGTTGGGGTGGTTTGGTGGGTGGTGAGCTTCTACGTTGCCTTCGGGAGCACGCGCGCGCGCGGTACTCCGTTCTCGACGTCGGCACTGCTCGCAGGGGGGCAGGAGCGCCGACCGCAGCACCTCTCAGAAGCCCTCGCGCTTTTTTGATGGTCTGGAGGAGGCTGTCCAGCAGCGCCGAGCAGTCGGACAGGCCCTCCTCCGGCGGGCAGAACCTCGAGAGCACCGCGGACTGCACCTCGGCCGGCTGCCTCGCCAAGAGCTCGAAGATGCCGTCGCCGACGGGGTAGCGCCTGCGGAAGGCGGCCAGCCGCTCCCTCTCCGCCTCGGCGGGCGCGGCGGACGCCTCCAGCCGCCGCAGCGCCTCGACGGCGGCGAGCCGCGCCCGCTCCACTTCCTCTGGCGACTCGTCCTTTGGGCGGAAAGTGGGCACCATCCAGGCACCTCTGTCTGGACCGTTCCTTATCCTGTACCGAACACGCCACACCTTCGTTGTTTTCAGCCAGACGACGTACTTGACGCCGCTCTGGCGCTCCGCACGGTGGCGAGCGCGAGCGCGGAGCCGCCCGACCTGGTCCTCCCTCTCGAGCTTCCGCAGCGCCTCGACGGCGGCGAGGTGCTCCCGCTCCACCTCCTTTGGCGACGACCCGTCCTTCGGGCGGAATTCAGCCTGTCGCACTCGACCTTTGTCTGGGCCGTTTTTTTATCGTATATTTAACACGCCACTCCTGCCTTGCTAGGTGCCAATGTATATGCTTCACGCCGCTCTGGCGCTTCGTTGTGCCCGCGCCGACGAGCCTGGCTGCGGCCGGAGCAAGCGCCCCGCGGCCGGGGCGGGCGGCCGCAGCGCGCAGGCGCGCCCCGCGCACCGGGGCGGGCCCCGCGGCCGGCCCGGCGAAGGCCTCCAGCAGGGCCGCGTGCCCGCACCCCGCGGCCGCCGCCAGGGCTTCGAAGACCGCGGACGCCGCCGCGGACGCCGCGCCGGCGGCAGAGCATGGCGCGCCACTCGGAGCGCAGCGGCGGGCCCAGCGGGCGAGCGAGCGGCGCGGGCCGGTTGCTGGATCCGCCCCAGGGTGCGTGCTCGCGCATCTAACCGTTGTATAATTGCCACGTATTGTACTGGTTTACATCATTATGCATCCCCCCCGACCCCTTCCTTGGAGTCGCGCCGCTCCGCCGACCCAAGATGTAAGCCCTCCTTCTCGGGCTCTCGAAACCATTCTTTTGACAACAAAGAGCCATAGAACATCGACGATTTGGGCCTCTGGGGCCTCTTGGAAGGTTTAGGCTGCTGCACAATTGCCCAAGATGGCTTCGGGGCCGGCCACTACATCCCGAAAACGACCCAAGATGGCCCATCCAGGGCTCATGAGGCCCTCCAGACAGCCCAAGAGGGCCTCAGGAGCACCCGCAACAGCGCCTCCAGAAACCAAACTCTAAACGCATTGATTTCCCATTGCTTTTTGACGGATTCTATCGTTCTCGCCTGCTTCGACTTTCAAAAACCGATGACGGCCAACGCAGCGGCCAAGATTGCCGCAAGAAGGCCGAGAACCACCCAAAAGGGCCAAAAGACAGCCCCGGACCAACCAAAAACTGCCCCCAACACGGTCCAGGACGCCCCCAAGACGGCCCGAGAGGACCCCAAGAACGCCGCAAGGCGGCGCGAGAAACCCCCAAGACGGTGTCCGAAGGTGTCAGAGGGGCTCCAAGCCCGCCAAGGCGGCCCCAAAACGGACCGACATGGCCCCACGAGGCCCTACAGAACCCCCGAACAACCTCCCAGGGGCCAAAGAGTTCCCAAGAAAACTCCCTGAGGTGCGCGAAAACACCCTTGCGCATCGCACGGGGACCTTCATCAAACAGCTCCGCAAGCTGGCCCTCCGTGCATGTGCGACGCTTGTACAGGCGGTCCTTCGACAAAACGTTGGAATGCTGCACCTAGCTCGACGCGCGCGGTGAGCTCCAGCGCACCTCTTCCTCTGAGCTGCTTCACTTCGCTGCAGAGCTGGGCACAGGAGTGGTCCCCGAGACGGCTCTCGAAGGCTACATGCGACCCCAGCGCGCCCGAGGACTGCTTGGGGCCCTCCCAAAAGTCAGCCAAATCTCCTCCTCCTCCCCCTCCTCCTCCCGGCGGCGCGGGCGGCGGCGGCGGCGGCGAGGACGGTCAGGACGGCGAGGACGAAGCCAGACATGCTCTCGTCGATTTTTTGGTAACAAAGAACACGACGAGAAGATTCGTGTCGTCAACGACATCCAGGGGCCCTCGCTCAATTGGAGCTTGTAGGGAACGATTGCAACATCGTGGATGCGTCTTGGGCTTGCACTGGTCCTCCCCTCCTCATCCTCCTCCTCGTCTTCCTCCGCGTCGCTCGTGGTTTCGGCTGGTTCTGCTCCTGCTGCCTCCCTCTCCTCCTCCTCCTCCTCCTCCTCCTCCTTCTCCTCCTCCCCCTGCTCCTCCTCCTCCTCCTCATCCTGCTGCTCCTGCTCCTCCTCCTCGTCCTCCTCCTCCTCCTCATCCACGTCATCCTCCCCCTCCCCATCCACCTCATCTTGCCTCCCCCTCCGCCATCCTCCTTCTCCCCCTCCCCCTCCCCCTCCTCCTATCCTGCTGCCTCCTCCTCCCTCCCCCTCCCACCTCCGCCTCCTCCTCCATTTTAATGTTTTTCTTAGACGTAACTTCTCCCTGTCGCATCCCGAGGCCGGTCGGAAGGGCCGGAAGGGCGTTTCGCCTGATACTTCCACAGCATGTGTGACCCGGACGCTTAAACGTCCGCAGCAGCTTCACACATTGAGTGCGGATGGTGTGCAACATGTGTCTCTCGCCTTAACGCCGCGCACATTCGTTTTAAACTGTTCCAAGATTCTCACGGGTTGAGGCCAGGTCGTTTGAAAAATGCGGCTTAAACCTCAGCGCCACGCGCATTCGTTTTTAACATTTGCAAGAGGTTCACGAATCGAGGGCGGGTCGTTTGCAAAATGCGGCTCTAGCATCAGCTCCACGCACATTCGTATTAGACACTTGCAAGAGCTTCACAGATTGAGGGCGGGTGGTTTTCAACATGTGACTCTGGCCTTAGCGCCACGCACATTCGTGTCAAAAGATCGCAAGGGTTTCAAGGATTGAGGGCAGTTCCTTTTCAACCTGTAGCTCTCGCATGAGCGCCGCGCACATTCGTTTGTAAAAGTTCGCCGAAGTGTCAATCAATTCTCGTGGTTCAAGTATCAGAAATGGGGTGTTGGACCGGTTCATGATTGTCAGGACGAAACAGTTACGTTGAATTGCTGTGTTGACGTCCCAGGAGTGGTGTTAGGGCACGACTCAGGACCGCCAAGATTCCACAAGCAAATTAACCCGTGTCGTTGAAGACATGAAAAAGAAAGGCATGGGCGCGTTTCTGGATGTTTACACGGTTGCTCCCCAACGGGGGCAATTCCCTCAGTGGAAATGAACCATCTGTGCGGGCCTATGAGGAGTGAACTTGGCGAGAGGGTGTATTCAAACATCGCTGATGAGTCTTAGGTTTGCACTGATCCTCCTCCTCCTCCTCCTCCTCCTCCTCCTCCTCCTCCCCCTCCTCCCCTCCTCCTCTTCCTCCTCCTCCTCCTCCTCCTCGTCCTCCTCCTCCTCGTCCTCCTCCTCGTCCTCCTCCTCTCTCCTCCTCTCCTCCTCCTCCTCCTCCTCCTCCTCGTCCTCCTGCTCGTCCTCCTCGTCCTCCTCCTCGTCCTCCTCCTCGTCCTCCTCCTCGTCCTCCTCCTCGTCCTCCTCCTCGTCCTTGTCCTCCTCCTCGTCCTCCTCCTCGTCCTCCTCTTCGTCCTCCTCCTCGTCCTCCTCTTCGTCCTCCTCCTCGTCCTCCTCCTCGTCCTCCTCTTCCTCCTCCTCCTCGTCCTCCGCCTCCTCCTCCTCGTCCTCCTCCTCGTCCTCCTCTTCCTCCCTCTCTCCCCATTCACCTCATCCTCCCGCCTCACCCTGGTTCACCCAGACCTCTGGCGGGTCAGGTGTTTCAACCCATGGGCCCAAGCGGTCTTGGTCCCTCCCCTCGGGGAAATTGTGTATCATGGAAACGATCGGAGGGTCACAGGGCCCAACAGCGGCCCACAGAGGCAGGTACTACCAAAGAAACGCCAGGCAACTACAAACACATCCGCCGGGGAAGGACGAGGGCGTTAAGGGAATTGATCCTCCTCCTCCTCCTCCTCCTCCTTCTTCTCCTCCTCCTCCTCCTCCTCCTCCTCCTCGCCCTCGTCCTCCTCCTCCTCCTCCTCCTCCTCCTCCTCCTCCTCCCCTCCTCCTCTCCCCATCTCCTCCTCTCCTTCCTGTTTCCTTCCTTCCTTTTTTTCCTACCCCCTCCTCCTCCTCCTCCCCTCCTCCTCCTCCCCTCCTCCTCCTCCTCCTCCTCCTCCTCCTCCTCCTCCTCCTCCTCCTCCTCCTCCTCCTCCTCCTCCTCCTCCTCCTCCTCCTCCTCCCTCCTCCTCCTCCTCCCCCTCCTCCTCCCTTATCCTCCCATCCCTCCTCCTCCTCATCATCATCATCAACATCATCATCTTCCTCTTCCTCTTCCTGAGACACTGAGACACCAATGGCGATAAGGTCTCCGGACGTCACCGCACCCCCCCAGGGCCGGCCGGCCTAGAGGGGTGAAAGTGGCGAGCCAAATGACTCCAAGGGAGGCCGCCCCTGGAGTCGACGGCCGGTGGGATGCGCTGTCAGGCGAAAGAAGGACCGATGAGGAGAGCAGGAGGAAAGCCGAGGGGTAGGCCGAGGGTGTTGAGGGAGTTGATCCTCCTCCTCCTCCTTTTCCTCCTCCTCCTCCCTCCCCCATCCTCGTCATCCTCCTCCTCCTCGCCCTCCTCCTCCTCCTCCTCCTCCTCCTCCTCCTCCTCCTCCTCCTCCTCCACCTGGGCAAAGCACGGAGGCGTACACAGTGCGTTCGCCCCGCCGCGGGAGCCGCTGTCCGACGGGTGACTTTCGTGACGCCCGACGGAGACAGCGGCGGACCTCGAAGCCGCCGAAGGCGGCCACTTGGCGTCAAACACGCAGGGAGGACAGGAAAGCACGCAGGGCAAAGTCGAGAGCCCAAAGTGCACGCAGACAAACACGCACTAGGCACATTTGTCGAGCTAGCGGGCTCGAGAAAGTTAGAAGCAGGCAAGCGACAGACGTGCGTCTCACAGAGCATCGAGCTCGGTGATCTTATAGATAACAGTGTCGACGTTAAATATCTCCTCGGCCAACCTGGAGCCCACGGCGTTACCCCGCTTGGGAGCCTTGGGAGGGCGCGGGGAGGTGAGGCCGCTGGCGAGCCTCTTGGAGCTAAAGGAGCCACACACGCTACAGCACACATACCTGGTGGGGACAGGCACCGTGAGGGCTATAAGCGTACACAACCTATGTGCTTCAGCTCCTCGAACCACATGCGACTGATTTGTGGCTTTGGCACGTCCCTGCAATGTGGGCAGCTGGGCCTTGACGAGCCCTAGGGGGGGAGGGGCCTCAGAGACTCGGGCACGGCGCTCACGACGCAGAAGATCTTCCATCATATAGTACCGCTCCAACACTGGCCACCCAGACACCCAAGCCCTTGACGAATTTCTGAAGTTGCTGGATGAGCTGTCGAAAGGCCACAGGGGGTCTTCTCTGATGGGTACGAGACTTGGCAGCCGCATCCGCCAACGTGTTACCTTCGGTATGTCGAGCGGGCTGTGCTCCGTCCAAAACCTGCCGCCTCGCGACATGACTCCGAACTTTGGCGAGAGCGAACCCCTCACCAATCGTGAATCTTCTGCAGGACCAGCCGCCAGGCGGGCCCAGGCATGCCCCGCAGACGCGGCGCGGTCCTCTCCAAGTAAGCTAGCGCCCTGGACCGCAAAGCTGGAGACACAGAGAACTGCAACAGGAGGAACGACATGAAGCAAGGTAATGTACCATGCGCACAGCTCAGCTCCGCCGATATCCCGATGCGCGGCTGGGGGGGGGGGGGGGGGGGCGCGACGGCGCAGGCCCCAACTTAAGCCGGCGAGTGCAGAACAACAGCTGCAAAGCCGGCCACGGGGCAAAGCGGAAGCTCCTCGAAACGTGGCCCGCCCAGGAAGATGTCCCCCGTGAACCTCGCACGATTGTCTTGCCATTGGAGGTGGGGCTGCATCGGGGGCTGGAGCCGATCGGGCGGCACAGCTGGCTGGGCAAGCACTAGTCTCTCGAGGAATACTTCAAACAACTTGTCGCCCCTGGCCTCGCCGGGAAAAACTCGCGCGGCGGAGGCGCGGGCGCGACGAGGCCAGAGACGCGCTCGCACTGCGCATGCCTGTGAGAGAGCGCGCCTGGAAAGGACTCGCAAATCTTACAGGGGGGGCCGGGGATCCAGCCGTGCTCACACTGTCGATCCTGAGGCCACTGGGCCCCGATCGCCACCGAGCGCAGATAAGCAGCCTCTTGGGCCGGCAGCATCCTGGAGGTATACAGCGATCGCAGCGGCTCAATCCAGACGCCCTCGAGAAACCCGGGAACCTCGAAGTGCCCCGCAACCTCCTGCATCTGCCAGGAGACGATGGCCCTCTCAACCAGCGCCTGGACGGACCTGGGGCGCAGCCGGGCGGGGTCGATCACCTGGCCAATCGGAACTTTCAGCAACGCACGCAGCTGGCATCGATACCGACGCGGTTCAGGGAGGCCCAGAGCGCTGAGGAGGGCCCCTCGATGGCCTGCCAAGGAGAACTATGGGGCCCCAGGCGAGCGGCAGCGGCAGCAAGTCCCTTATCGAGAGTCTTGACGGACATGAGGGTCCTCCAGAGCACGTGCATGAAGGCCTTGACGGGCTCCAAGGTGGCGCGATAGATGGGGTCGAACCTGGGGCTCGGCGTGAGGAGCATGGCCAGCGTACCTGATCTACCAGCGGCCTCAGCCCAAAAAGAAGCAGCCGCCATAGTACGAAGAGACTCAAGCTCCCCCGCACTGGTTCCCTGGACGGCCGAGCCAAAGGTGACTGTGGTCTCGATAGACGCGCGCGCCATGTGCTGCAGTGTCTTCTTGCGTGCGCGCGCTCCTTGCAAGTGCAGCGTGCGCTTGTGGTACTTCTTCGCTACAGGTATACGCGCTGTGCGCGTGCGTCGTCTCGCCGCCCTGCCGGCATAATAGTCCACCCCGGGGTTGCGTTCCGAGCGTGCCCCAAGAGCCTTGACGGCTACGAGCCTGGACTGCAGGGGGCGCTGAATCCCTGGAGTGCTGGCCAGCGCTCTGGACTTATCAAAGGCTATGACAAGGTCGACCCGCTTCAGGTCATGCTTAAGCATTGCGCCTGCCCCTGACACGTCATCAATAATCCGCTTAGCTGGCCCGCGCCTCACCAACCCAATATCATAAACGCACGCAGCAACATGTACACTTGCATATTCTCTGCGAACCTCATCAAGAGGCCCAACCAGCTCGACGGTGCGCGGGGCGCGACAGGCGAGCACGAGCAACTTCAACTACCAGAGAGGGAAACGCGTCCTGGCGGCTGCCTCGATAAGGTGCGAGTGTCGAACGAGTTCGATTGCTTCCTTGCGGTAAACGAGTAGAGTGGTCGTGGCACTGCCCGAGTCAGTGCGGCACTCAGCCCGCCCCGCCTGCGACCAAACCGAAAACTCCGAGGATTTCTCACGAATGGCCCACCAGAAGTAGCGGCAGTTGCTTTTCTGCCACTGCTGCAATATATCTCGCCCAATGCGCGCTTGCACGCGACAAAGACAATGGAGCTGGCAAAGGGGGCGTACTCCGCCGAGCCGCTGACAATATGGACACCAGTCTGGTAGTCATAGGCGGCCAGGCTTCCTGGCGCTCAATCGCGGAGATGAGCTGGCGGGACATCTCGGGCGCTTCGACGGGGAGTCTCGACAGCTGTCGCGGGGGCAGCTGGTCAAACCCACATCCCGTCCCCGCCGTGGACGTGCTCAGGGCCATGTTCAGGTGGTCCAGAGCCGGGGGGGGGGGGGGGGGCGAACTCCGAGGTCCTCGGGCACTTTTTTTTGGGGGGTCTTTGGTTCCAACCCGCCGCCATTTCTCCCGCTCGGCCGCAAGGGCAGATACCTCGTGCATGCTGTTGGCGGGAACGCACTGCGCTGCAGCGTAAGACCGTCACGCACCAGTAAAGTGCGCATTTCGAAACAGCGCATCCGCCCCATTCACCGAGTGTTTCTTGGCCCGCTGCCCCCAGCCCGCCTTCTTATGCGCGGCGTACTCGCGGCAAAGCAATGCAGCATATTGACGACGCGCAAGCGTAGACAGACAGGCCGCGAGGGAATAGAGCGCGTCGGGATGCGCGAGCAAGTCGAGAATGCGGCAGAAGCAGACGGCATAATGGCTCGACGCGTGCTTCGACCCCTGAAGACTACGGGCAGCCCGACAGAGCTGTAAGGTCTTGCAAAGTTTGCGGAACTGCAGCCCGACGGAACTGCGCGGTTTTGCAAAGTCCGAAAACTAAAACCCCAACACAGCGCCACCAGGTGGCAACTGGGCCAACCCTCGGGAAAGCTGGTGGTCCATGTCGCCCAGGTTTACCCCAGGAGTACCCAATCTGCCCCCCATGCTGGAAACCAAAACTCCCCCAGGAAGAACTCCTCCAAGATGCAACAAATCAGCGCGTCCAGGCACCAAAGCAGCCGAGTAGCGCTCTACTGTAGATAAGCCCACGTGTTTCGAAGTTGCTAGCATGAGACCTCCAGAGGTGCCCCCGCGACCTGTTGGAACAGCTGAAAAGAGAGATAGGCTCGTCGACCCTGAGCACGAAGCGCGGCCTCCCGCGCATCAGTCTCGACGATATGGGTTTCTTGAACAGCGAGCACGTCGGCCCCATGGGAGTGAGGGGAGGAGAGGAACATGTCATCAAGCCAATCGCGCTTTGTGCCATCGCAGGTTATTAATGTCCAGCAACGGCGGGCCCGGGCTCGAGACTCCGCACCCGGGCTAAAGATGCGACTTATCTTTCTCAGTGATACTGCAGCGCGCCTTCTTGGCACGCTCAACTTCCTCGAGCGCGGCCTGGACAGCCTGCTGAGTGATGCCCCACTTGCCTTCAGAGTCTTCTTCAGTAGCGGCTCCACCTCCAGCATCGTTGACAAGCTTGTCGGCCCAGTCGCCGTCGAGGTCGGAGAAGGAGAGGTCGCCCCTCTTCGCGTCGCCGCCAGACTCGAGGTTGACGAGAAGAGGCTGCCCAGCGCCTGCACCATCACGAGCATCACCAGCGGTATCAGCAGCCTCAGACGGAGCCTTGGTGTCCTGCGCCGCCTGCTGCCTCTGGTCCACAACCGAGTCACGGGCGGCGATGAGCTTCTCAAAGTCCACCAGCACCGAGGCCTCGCAGCCGAGCGACACGAACAGCGAGCGAAAGCCAGCGGCAGGATCGAGCATAGGAGGAGGAGGAGGAGGAGGAGGAGGAGGAGGAGGAGGAGGAGGAGGAGGAGGAGGAGGAGGAGGAGGAGGAGGAGGAGGAGGAAGAACGCCAGCGCCAGCATGAGCCTCAGGAACCGCCACACCTCCAGAGAGCTGACCGTGCGCCTCGGCGGCGCGCTTGGCGGCATCGTTCCCCTTGGCCTGCAGCTCGTCATGCTCCGCCTGGACCTGGACCACACGCAGGACCTGCTTGGACAGGGTGTCCTTGGCCTTGTCAAGGGCGTTGGCTGTCTTGGCGACCTTGGCCTTGAGGAAGTCGTGATCCTGCTTAGCCTCCTTGGACACGGCCGACGGGTCCCCAGACTTGACCGCTCGCTGCGCCACGATGCGCGAGCGCAGCTGGCTGGGCAAGAGAGCAACAGGGGCAGAAAACTGCACATCGTCCAGCGCGAGGAAGGCATGAATCTGCTCGTCCTCGAGCTTGTCATCCTTGGCTGCGGCGGCGCCCTTGCCCGCACCTCCGTCACCCTTGGAGCGGACCCCTGAGGCGTCGGAGTCGGGCTTGTCAGCACCACAGCAGTAGCATGTACGCCGCCATCCGAAATTGTTCGCGAAATTGCACTTCTTGACTGCACACGTCCAGGTCTGGCCACCCCAGGACCGCGAGGCATTGCTGGGACGGGTCATCGCGGGAGCCATGCGCAGAGAGTCGAAAGAAGGGGCCACCTGCTGACCAAACAAGCTCGGGCCAGCCCTTCGTCTTGAGCCAACATGGCTTGAGCCAACATGGCTTGAGCCACAATGGCTACGGACCTCCTCCTCCTCCTCCTCCTCCTCCTCCTCCCCATCCTCCTCCTTCTCCTCCTCCTCCTCCTCCTTTTCCTTCCTTGCTTCCTTCCTTCCTTCCTTCATTCCTTCCTTCTGTCCTTCCTCCTCCTCCTCACCCTTCTCCCAGAGACGAGGGAGGGGCGGAGCCCCGACTCCTGCGCGTCGGCCGTCCCCGGCCGGGCGCCGCCGGCCCGGCGCGCGCGCTGCTCGATGTGGGCCCAGGGGTCCGAGGGCTGCTCCGCCATCAGCTCCTCCGCGGGCGGAGGGGCTCGGATGGAGGTGCCTTTCTCCCTGCCTTCCTCCTCCTCCTCCTCCTCCTCCTCCTCCTCCTCCTCCTCCTCCTTGTCCTCCTCGTTGGGAAGGCCTCGAGGGGGAACGCCCATGCAGCCCAGCTACACGCCCTCTGCGCCGCCACTGGCCGCCCAGGTGGGGTCCGAGTGCAGCACTCGCGCTGCCATCGGGCAGGCCAGAAACTGCCCCAAACCCTCTGTCGTGCTTTTGGTCACGGCGCGAGCATGTCTGGGCAGCGGCACTGTGAGGGTATTGGATCAGCAATCCCTGGATAAAGAACCCAGGGTCTGGAAGACGGTGGAGCTCCAACTGAGGCTTGGCCATGGATATCACCGCCGCCCTCACCAGCAACGGATCCTCCAGGGTCTGAAGCCTCCTGGGCACATTCCCTAACAAACGCCCCACCGTACCATCAGGGACGCTGAAGAATGAATGACGGGGCCTCTCTTCGGCGACACCGAGGGGTGTGGTTTGCAGAGGGTGTGGTTTGCAACTGAGTTCCCTGGGGGGGGGGCACCCTGGGGGGCGGGCGACAACCTCGACAGGGCTCTCCGCCGCGCCCGCGGGAGGCCCGACCCCGACCCCGACCCCGACGACCCCGACCCCGACGACCCCGACGACCCCGACCCCGACGAGGACAGCGTCGTGCCCCCCCGACCCCGACGACCCCGATCGCAAACCTCCTCGTGGTCGCCGATGCCTTGCCACGGCGAGCCGCGGCCACGAACGGGCTCCCCCGGCCCAGCCCTACGGGGAGCGCCCCGAGAGCCGGAGCCTCCCCTGAGCCCGACGTGCTCCCTGACTTCGGCGCCTTGGCTGCAGACGGGGTCGGAGGATGGCGCCGCATCGCCGACGTCGGGCTGCGACTGGCCCGGGTCAGAGCGCACCTGGCTCAGTCGGGCTCAGCAGGATGCAGTATCCTGCAGTATCCTGCAGCATCCCGCGGGATCTCCTGCGCGCTGGCCCGGGTCAGTGCACCCCTGGCTCTGCAGGACTCTCTGCAAGATCCGGCGCTCTGGCTGACCCCCGTTTGCATGGACCCCGTTTCTCGGGGATGGACAGAACCCCCTTTAGTAAAACGTGGTTTAGTGAAAACGACCTGAGGCCCAAACCTGGCGGGCGCAAGCCTGGAAAATAACGGCCACGGCGCCCTCTCGAGAACCGAAAACGGACAATTCACTAATCGACGTGTCACTGTTGGGGGTTCTGTCCACCCCCGAATTGGGACGGAGGCGTGAGTCGATCCGCATCGCCGACGCCTCGGCGAGGCGGTGCGGTCCTCCGGCCCACACCCACATTCCGGCCCGAGTTGGGGCTGCCCGGAGCTTGCGGGAGGTGTTTTTTTGATGGTCGAGGGCTCGACAGAGGCCATGATGATGGGCATGTTTTCCACCACCACCACCGTAAGTTGGAGTGGGGGGTCCTCCTCCTCCTCCTCCTCCTCCTCCTCCTCCTCCACCTCCTCCTCCACCTCCTTCCCCCCTCCAACTTATGGTGGTGGTGGTGGAAAACAGGCCCATCACATGACGCTGCAGCCCCGCCGAGGGTTACCAAGGCCTCACTTCTCGCACATGCCACGTGGCTCGGGCGTGAGCCCCTGGCGAGGACGCGGCCCCTCCTCTGGCGCCTCTGCTTCGCGGCGAACGAGGTCCCGGGGAGGCATGGGGACCAAGGTTCGAGGAGGAGATCGACTACAGAATTTACCTACCCTAGAACTCATTTGTCGGCGAATCTGCGAAAGATACGTAGAATGTTCTTGGACCAATGACAGATCTACGAGTTTTTTACAGATTCGACAAACATTCCGACTTTGAGGTAATTCAATTCTTAGATGCTCACTCTGGGGACCTTCCCGAAGCCAGTCGCTCCACTCGTGCTTCGCAGCTGCGTCGAACGGCCGTCGACTTGGAGCCGATCCTTACTCGAACCTGAGTCGAACCTGAGTCGAACTGGAGTCGACCTGGAGTCGAACTAGAGTCGAACCGATCTGTTGGGTGGGCCCCGGGCAGGTCCCCCAAAAATGACGAAGCAACAACGCACACCCATACCCATTGGGGGATCGGAGAGGGCTATGGGTGCGTGTTGTCGGATGGGGGTCCCCGCTCGAACGGGAGCGTTCCCCAGGGTCCGACAACCCGCACTCATACCCATAGCCAGTCCTCCTCCCAACGACCCGTTCGTCAAAAAACGGGTATCCAACGATGCTGTCGTCGACCTGCTACTCGAAGGGCTCTCGGACCTCCTCGATGGGGCCCTCGTTCGGCCTCCGGGGGCCTGCGCGGCGGGCCTGGCACCGGCGCTGGCTCCTCCGCGGGACGGGGCTCGATCCCCGAAGCTCCTTCGATCCTCGAATCTCCTTCGATCCTCGAACCTTTCGATCCTCGAGCCTGCTTCGATCCGGGTTCTCCTGCTTCTCCTCCGAATCCACCATGGATCCTCGGATCTCCTTCGCTCCAGGCTCTTGGGCCCTCCTGGGCCCTGCTTCGGCATCCAGAGGCACAGGCAGGAGGCCTAAGGAGGAGGCCGGAGGAGGAGGAGGAGGAGGAGGAGGAGGAGGAGGAGGAGGAGGAGGAGACGGAGGGGGAGGAAGATGGAGACGAGGAGGAGGAGGTGGAGGAGGGAGAGGGAGAGGAGGAGGAGGAGGGAGAGGAGAGGAGGAGGAGGAGGATGAGGAGGAGGAGGAGGAGGAGGAGGAGGAGGAGGAGGAGGGAGAGGAGGAGGAGGAGAAGGAGGAGGAGGAGGAGGAGGAGGAGGAGGGTGAAAAAAGGACAACCCGCGTCGTCGCCACACGTCGAGAGCCCCGAGCCACTCGCGGAACGATCGGGGCGAAGTTTCGCCCAGCCAAAGATGGGGTCGGGAGCCAGGAGCCACGACTAGAGCTAGGTCGGGCGTGTCCTCCTACAGGGGCTTCAGGACGAACAATTAAAATGCTCAAAAAATAACAAACATTCAAACATGCTCAAAACATGTAAAACAAATGTCCCCATTTTATGTTTTACTATTTGGGAATATTCCTCCTGTAGAGGGACAGGCCCGACTTCAGACTAGAGGCCTCCTTAATGGGGTCTCAGTAGATGGGGTCGGAAGATTCCGCCGCATCGACGATGCATTGCCGATGCATCGACGATGCATCGGCGATACACTGGAGACGTCGGCGAAGCATCGGCGCCGCTTGCGAGGAGAAAAACGGGCTCCGCATCGAACCGCATCGCGGCTGCATTGGCGATGCGGAGCGATCCTCCGACCCCATCTGCTTGGACCCCATCTGGGAGGCCTGAATCGACATTGAGCTTTTCTTTATGGCGTCGGATGTCGCGGGTGTGGTATTGCACGGGAGGTACTATTTGTCCAGCGGGGGTCCTTACCTCCTGTTCGGCGGCCGAACGGGCTCAAACGCCGAACGGGCTCAGACGCCGAACGGGCTCAGACGCCGAACAGGCTCAGAAGGGAACCGTGAGGCAGGGAAGGATCCCACCCTCCCTCGACTTTGGCACTCAAGGGAGGGGAGATCCTCTAGAACCGCTGGGGTTGTTTAGACCCGCGCGGCTCCTGGAACAGCGCCTGCGTCCAGGTGAGCAGGTCGTGCTTGTCCAAGTACCGCCGGGCGGAGACCTCGGGCGTCGGCTTGCAGAAGGCACCCCGCCGCCTGGACGCGCTACCACAGAATCCGGCCAAACCATGACTGGAAACAGTTCGCAAGCCTTTGTCGCTTTGGGGCGTATCGCGTGAAGCCGCCTGGCCGGTCACCGTAACAACTCTGGCACAGCAACAAAGACATCGTAGCCCGCATGCTGGTGGCACGCTAGTCGCTGTTGCTTTTGCAGAATGCACCGGATGTGGCGGCAAGGTGACGGGCGGGTCGTGGGGGGAGGGCCGAACTGACCCAAGTGGCGAAGCTCCGTCAAGAGGTACATTCTAACCGGTCGATCTTCAAACTCTCGGGGCTCCGCCGTCGTGGTTTGTTCGGCACGCGGCCCCTGGGGCTCCTGACCCCTTCCTCCTTGGAGCCGTCGTTTCGTGCTGGACCGCGTTTGTCCTACGGACGGGTCGAGGGGCGCGACAGGGAAGAGTTATTCCCCAATCAGTGCGCGCTTGCACTGAAGGCTTGAAAGAGTAGACAGAAGTGCGGCGTCGATTTCGGTAGGCGGCCGGGCTCCTGGGTTGCCTGATCTGTGTTTCCCAATTCTCGTGTCCAAGTTCTGAGCCGATTTCGGTGGGCGGCCAAGTTTCCAGGTTCTTTGTTCCGGGTCCTGATTTCCTGGCGTTGAAAAGGTTCCCGGGTGTTCGAGTTCTTGCTTGCGGCCAAGTACCCAGGTCTATGCGGCCAGTGTCAAGAGGATATAGAGTACATATCATATAGTAGAAAGCACACTTGAAGTGCACCATGCTTGCGCATCTGGAAATCACACGTATAAGTATGTCTCTATATCTATATATACATGTAGATGTCAGCCAACGTGGACACCAAACAGTGTGCTTCTAGCAGTATATGGTGTGACATCTAGGTGGAACAATCTACGTGGTGCCGTCTGGAAGCGGGTATTGCGCGAGATGGCCTAGCGTCCTAGCGCGGGAGCTTACGCGGGCCGCCGGCAAGGCACGCCACACTGAGAACGAGGGCGATTACGCGCGACCTTGCGCGGGCAGCTTACGCGCAAATGTCGGTGAAGACGAACACGCTGCTCTGTGTCGCCCGTGTGGGCCTCGCGGGTTGCATCTGGAAGATGGGCCAGGTCCTGTGTCCTGGAGGGAGGCGTCCTTGCGCCAACCTCGCGATCGCCCTCCTCCCTCCCTCGGTGGGAGGCCGGCGCTTTAGAACCTGACACTCTCCCTCCCTCCTCCCGGCTCCCCAGACCCCCGACGACATGACCTTGACGTCGACCTCCAGAGGTCTCGACCATTCCCCCGAAACCGGATTCTCAGTCGTTTCTTGACGGCCCCGAAGCCCGGTAAGGGCCCTCAAAGGCCGAGACTAGCAGAATACCTTCTGTCGTGATATGCTCATTCTGACCCTCGAGCACGCACTCTGCGGACTAGCGCGCAGGGGTGCGCGCCGCGCGGGCGCGCCGCGCCAAGCAGTGCCTCCACATCGTTGTTGTCGTCATCGCCGTCGCCCTCGTCGACATCGTCGTCGTCGTCGTCGACGTCCTCGAGGTCCTCGTCGTCCTCGACGCCGTCCTCGACGACGTCGTTGTCGGCGTCGTCGTCGTCATCATCGTCATCGTCATCGTCGTCGTCCTCGATGTCCTCGTCGTCGTCGACGTCCTCGAGGTCCTGGTCAACGTCCTCGTCGTCGTCGTCGACTTCGTCGTGGGGTAATCGTCGTCGTCCTCGACGTCCTCGTCGTCGTCGTCCTCCTCCTCGACGTCGTCGTCGTCGTCCTCGTCGTCCTCGTCGTCGTCGTCCCTGTCCTCGTCGTCGTCCTAGACGTCGTCGTCGTCCTCGACGTTCGCGCCGTGTCGTCGTCGTCGTCCTCGTCGTCGTCCTCGTCGTCGTCCTCGTCGTCGTCATCGTCGTCGTCACCTTCGATGTCCTCGTCAACGTCGTCGGTCTTGACGTCGTCGTCGTCGTCCTATACGTCGTCCACGGCGTCGTCCTCGTCGACGTCGTTCGCAACGTGGGTCTTTGTCGTCGTTGTCCTATACGTCGTCCACGGCGTCGTCCTCGTCGACGTCGTTCGCAACGTGGGTCTTTGTCGTCGTCGTCCTTGTCGTCGTCGTCATCGTCGTCGTCGCCGTCCGCGACATCGTCGTGGTCGTCGCTGTTTTCGTCGTCCTCGTCGTCGTCCTCGTCGTCGTCCTGGTGGTCGTCCTCGTCGTCGTCGTAGTCGTCCTCGTCGTCGTCGTCCTCGTCGTCGTCGTCGTCGACGTCATCGCCGTTGTCGTCGTCGTCGTCCTCGTCGTCGTCCTCAACTTTTTGTTTGAGCTCAACAGCTCTCCTCCACCAAAGCATGACGTCTGACGGCGGTGGGGGACATCAGCATGCTAAACTTAAAGTTAATCATAATCGCCTGCAGTCTCAACTGCAGCTCGCACAAGAGGCCCCTTGTCCTCCTCAAGGGCGAGGGAGCTGCGAACACGCAACAGGGCGGCCTGCTGCAACAGCACACTCGAGGGCGCGAGTCGAGACCTGCTCGTCCTATTAGACTCAGCGGCAGGCGTCTCATGAAAGGTACCGCTCAGCTGCATGCTGCCACTCTCGCCTGTCGCAGAGAACATGGGCGAGCAACACAACTGAGCGTCAGTGAAGAAGCTGGCAAGGCACCAGCTCGCAAGTCAGCGGCCTCGCATGTCAGGGCACTCTCACCTCCAGGAGGGAACATGGCCTGAGCGCGTGAGGGCGCAAAAGAAGATACAGCGGCCCAAACTGGCGGAGAATCGCCAAACAGATGCCGAGAAGATTCATCCTCAGCATCGAAAGGATCAAAGGCGAGCTCGGTACCACTCTCGCCTCCCCCATCGGGTGGAGGGAACATGGGCACCGAACTCTTGACCGCAACGGCCGACGGCTCAGAGATACGAGGTGCTTCCGTGCAAGTCTGAGCTGACTTGCCGCTCGCCGCAGCGGGGGTGCAAGGCATCTCATCACAACCAAAATCTGAAACAACAGCCGGCCTAGAACTGCTGACAAGACAGTCTGAAGCGGCAGGCCTGGCGCTACTGTTGGCCTCGGCAGCATCAAGATGCGCGATAACAACAATATTGAAGCATTGCATGAGGTGTCCCGTGTTGACTCGAACTCCACGCTTACTGTACTGCGGGTGACGACCTTTAGTACACAAATGGTTCCAGCCAGTGCGCCTGGACTTAGTGGGGCCCAGACAACGCTCTCCAAGACCTCGAACGCTGGCACCAGTGGAGTAATAATAGCATTAAGTGCGCACATGAAAAGCACAGAGCGGTCGCCACAATCAAAAGCAATGACCCTTTGATTAAGAGCATCAAGCCTGGAAGCGTGAAGATTGCTGAAATTGGTACAGCGACTGGGCTCAGGACAAGTGGCAGAACGCTTACCCTTGAGACAAACCTCACAATGCCAGAGCCCAGCCCACGGACGCCACCGATGCCTGGGACCAGGAGGGGCAGAAAGGGGTCTTTAAAAGCTCGAAGTTGGAAAGGTCCAGGGGTTCCCAAAGATGGGCCAACCTAGCAGCAAGCCTGAGAGTACAACGGGCGGCGCGAACCATCTTGTCGATAGCGGCCAACGCATCCTCATCACGCGGATGCAAGTTGACAGCATGTTTCGCGCCAGCGTCCGCATGGTGATTTCCCACCCGCCTCCACCTCTCCCGACTACCAATGCCGACCTCGTCGACATCTTTGTGAGCAGCAACCTTCTCACACGGCAGGGGGGAGGAGGAGGAGTAGCACTGGAGGAAGGCACCAGCACACACACGTTTGCCAGACAAATGAGACAAGCGAGGTTCAGTGGCCAACTTCACCACATCGTCCTCGTCGTCCTCGTCGTCGTCGTCGTCGTCGTCAACGACGTCCTGGTCGTCCTCGTCGTCGCAGTCGTCGTCGTCGTCGTGGTCGTCTTCCTCGATGTCCTCGTCGTCGTCCTCGCAGCTGGCCTGGACGTCCTCGTTGTTGTCCTCGTCGTCATCATCGTCCGCGACGCCCTCGTGCTTGTCGTCGTTGTCGTCGTTGTCGTCCTCGTTGTCCTCGTCGTCGATCTCGTCGTCGTCCTCGATGTCATCGTCGTCGTCGTCGACGTCGTCCTCGACGTCCTCGTCGTCGTGCTCGTCGTCGTCTCCGACGTCCTCGTCGTCTTGCTCGTCGTCCTCGTCGTCGTCCTCGTCGCCGTCCTCGTCGACGTCGTCGTCGTCCACGTCGCCCTTGTCGTCGTCCTCGTCGTTATCATCGTCGTCGTCCCTGTCGTCGTCGTCCTCGATGTCCTCGTCGTCCTCGTCGTCATCCTCGACGTCGTCGTCATTGCCCTCGTCTTTGACGTCGTCGTCCTCGTCGTCTTCGTTGTCCTCGTCGTCCTCGTCGTCGTCATCCGCCTCGTCGTGCTCCTCGCCGTCGTCGTCGTCCTCGTCGCCGTCGTCGTCGTCCGCGTCGTCCTCGTCGTCGTCGTCCTCGTCGTTTTCGTCGTCGTCGACATCCGCCTCGTCGTCGTCCTCGTCGTCGTCGTCCTCGTCGCCATCGTCGTCGTCCGCCTCGTCCTCGTCATCGTCTTCGTCCTCGACGTCCGCGTCGTCGTCGTCCTCGTCGTCGGCCACGTCGTCGTCATCGTCGTCCTCCTCATCAGCGTCGTGGTCGTCCGCGGCGTCCTCGTCGCCGGCGTCGGTGTCGTCGTCCTCGTCGTCGTCGTCGTCGTCCTCGTCATCCGAGTCGTCGGCGTCGTCACCGTCGTCCTCGATGTCCTCGTCATCGTCGTAGTCGTCGTCCTCGACCTCGTCGTCGTCGTCCTCGTCGTCGTCGTCAGCGACGTCCTCGACGTCATAGTCGACGTCCTCGTCGTCGTCGTGGTCGTCTTCGTCGTCGTCGTCGTCGGCGTTCTGATCATCGTTGTCGTCCGCGACGTCCTCGTCGTCGTCATCTTCGTCCTCGTCGTCGTCCGCATCGTGGTCGTCGTCGTCCGCGACGTCCTCGTCGTCCTCGTGTTCATCCGAGTCGTCGTCGCCGTCGCCCTCGATGTCCTCGTCGTCGTCCCCGTCGTCTTGCTCGACGTCGTCGTCGTCGACCTCGACGGCGTCGCCGTCCGCGGCGTATCCGACGTTCTCGATGACCTCGTCGTTGTCCTCGTCGTCGTCCTCGTCCTCGTCTTCGTCCTCGTCGTCGTCGTCCTCGACGAGGTCATCGTCATCGTCTTCGTCCTCGATGTCCTCGTCGTCGTCCGCGTCGACGTCCCCGTCGTCCTCGTTTTCGTCTTCGTCGTCCTCGTCGTCGTCGTCGTCGTCCTCGTCGTCGTCGTCGTCGTTGTCCTCCTCGTCGTCATCGTCCGCGACGTTCTCTTCGTCGGCGCGTCGGCGTCGTCGTCGTCGTCGTCGCCATCGTCGTCGTCGTCCACGACGTCTCGAATCGTCGTCGTCGTCCTCAATGTCCTCGCTGTTGTGCCCGTCGTCTTCCTCGACGTCGTCGTCGTCCTCGTCGTCCTCGTCCGCGACGTCCTCGTCGTCCTCGTTTTCGTTCTCGTCGTCGTCGTCGTCCTCGATGTCCTCGTCGTCGTCCTCGTCGTCTTCCTCAACGTCGTTGTCGTCGTCCTCGTCCCGTCGTCGTCCATGACGTCCTCGTCGACGTCGTCGTGGTCGTCGTCCTCGTCGTCGTCCCCGTCGTCATACTCGTCGTCGTCGTCGTCCTCGTCCTCGTCATCCTCGTCGTCGTTGTGGTCGTCCTCGTCTTCTTCTTCGTCCTCATCGTCGTCGTCGTCCTCGTCGTCGTCGTATGCGATGTCCGCGTCGTCGCCATCGTCGTCGTCCTCGATGTCGTCGTCGTCGTCGTCCTCGTCGTATTCCTCGTCGTTGTCGTTGTCGTTCTCGCCATCGTCGTCGACGTTGTCGTAGTCGTAGTCGTAGTCTTAGACGTCGACGTTGTCGTGCTCGTCGTCGTCCGAGTCGTCGTCCTCGTTCTCGTCGTCTGTGACCTCCTCGTCGTCCTCGTCGTTGTCGTCGTCTTCGTCGTCATCGTCGTCCTCGATGTCCTCGTCGTCGTCCTCGTCGTCTTCCTCGTCGTCGCCGTCCTCCTCGTCATCGTCGTCGTCGGCGGCGTCGTCCGCGATGTCCTCCTCGTTGTCGTCGTCGTCGTCGTCGTAGTCGTACTCGTCGTCGTCCTCGTCGTCCTTTTCGTCCTCGACGTCGTCATCGTCTACGACGTTCTCGTCGTCCTCGTCGTCGTCGTCCTCGATGTCGTCGTCGTCGTCGTCCCGGTCATCTTCCTCGACGTCGTCGTCGATGTCATCTGCGACGTCCTCGTCTTCGCCATCGTCTTCGTCGTCAACGTCGTCGTCGTCCGCGTCGTCGTCCTCGTCGTCGTCGTCTTCGACGTCCTTGTCGTCCTCGTCGTCGGCGTCGTCATTGTCGTCGTCGTCGATGTCCTCGTCGTCGTCTTCGTCGAATTCCCCGTCGTCGTCGCCGTCGTCGTCGTCCTCGTCGTCGTCGTCGTCAGCGTTGTCCGCAACATCCTCGTCGTCGCCGTCGTCCTCGCAGTCGTCGTCGTCGTCGTCGTCCTCGTCGTCGTCGTCGTCGTCGTCGTCCTCGTCTTCATCGTCGTCTGCGACGTCCTCGTCGTCCTCGTCGTCGTCATCGTCGTCGTCGTCGATGTTCTCGTCGTTGTCCTCGCCGTCTTCCTCGTCGTCGTCTTCGTCCTCGTCGTTGTCATCGGCGTTGTCCGCGACGTCCTCGTCGTCGTCGTCGTCGTCGTCGCCGCCCTCGTAGTCGTAGTCGTCGTCGTCGTCCTCGTCCTCGTCGTTTTCCTCGTCGTCGTCGTCGTCGTCTGCGACGTCCTCGTCGTCCTCGTCGTCGTCGTCGTCCGCGATGTCCTCATCGTCATCCTCATCGTCGTCCTCCTCGTCGTCCTCGTCGTCCTCGTCTGCGACGTCCTCGTCGTCGTCGTCGTCCTCGATGTCGTCGTCATAGTCCTCGTCGTCGTGGTCCGCGACATCCTCGTCGTCGTCGTCGTATTCGTAATCGTCGTCGTCCTCCACTTCGTCGTCGTCCTCGTCGTCCTCGTCGTCGTCGTCGTCCTCGTCGTATTCCTCGTCGTCGTCGTCGTCCTCCTGTTCCGCCGCCTCGGCCGGCGTCCGCGGCGGCCGCCCACTCCGCTCCGAAGGCCGAGGCGGCGGCCGCCAAGCGGTGGCGGCGGCTCGCCGCGCCCGCGCCCTCGGCGGCGGCGGGGCCTCGGCGCCCGGCGGAGCTGTCGCCGTCGTCGCTGTCGTCGTCGTCGTCGCCGCCGCCGTCGCCGCCGCTGCCGTCGTCGTCGTCGTCGTCGTCGCCGTCGTCGTCGTCGTCGTCGTCGTCGTCGTCGCCGTCGTCGTCGTCGTCGTCGTCGGCGTCCTCGTCGTCGTCGTCGTCGTCGTCGTCGTCATCATGACGATGGCGGTGCCTTCGCCTCCTCGCCCTGCTCCTGTTGCTGCTCCTCCTCTTCGTCGTCCTCCTCCTGCGCCTCCTCCTCCTGCCCCTCTTCCTCCTCCTCCTCCTCCTCATCATCCTCCTCTTCCTCCTCTTTCTCCTCCTCATCCTCCACCTCCTCCTCGTGACGATTGATTGTAACTCGCAAAAGGCCCTCGGGCCATGTCGCCTGGCTTGTTAGCTCGCGCGCGTGTCGTGCGCATCATAAGCCGCCAAATATCAGGAAATTGTAGAGCTGATCCGCAACCCCAATCGAAAGGGGTGAAGGCCGATGATGCACTCGTCATCGTGACAATGGCGGCGCCTCCACTTACTCGTCCTGCTCCTGCTGCTGCTCCTCCTTCGCCTCGCCCTCCTTCCCCCTCCTCCTCCTCCTCATCCTCCTCCCCCTCCTGCTGCTCATCCCCCTCCTGCTGCTCATCCACCTCCTTCTGCTCCTTCTGCTCCTCCTCCTCCTCCTTCTCCTCCATTTCTCGTTCCTCGTGCTCCTCCTGCGTTGAGTCTCGTAAGTGATCTTCAGTGACCCAGGCCCCGAGTTCAGGCAATACCTTGGCGATGTCGGAGATCGCCGATGGATTTTGCCAGGGGCCTCGGAAGCGTGGTCGGGACTCCGAACTTGCAACATGGCACGGTGTGGTCACAAGGACGTTCCTGGAGACGTCTTGGGGGCCCTGGGGTCCGCCCCCATGTCGTCGTCGTCGTCGTCGTCGTCGTCGTCGTCGTCGTCGTCGTCGTCGTCGTCGTGTCCGTAGCCACTTTGGCTCAAGATGCTTAGTTCCACTGTGGAACGCGTGGATACCTCTAGTCCGCGGCCAGTCTTCAATTTCTTGGCGCCTGCTGGTCCACCCCAGCAGCTGCCCGCCCCCGCTCATTCGGGTGAGCGTCTGTCCGACCGGCTCCCTCCGCCAGATTCATGGTACCGCAGGGAGTTCACTTCAAGTATGACCAGTGGGGGCGATCGCACCCACAAGTTCCAGATGGCTCGTGGACTCCCGTTCGCTCGCGCCGCCACAAGAAGGATCCTTACACTTTCTGCTCCTGTGGTCATTGGACTTTTGACCGTCTCCTTCGGAAGCGTGACCACTGTGTTGGATGTGGATCTGACTTGCAGCCAGGAAGTGCTCTCGGAGGGGGCCAGTCGGGAAGTGCGGGCTACGGTGTGCAGGGGGGAGGCGGCCTCTCGCTCAAGTCTCCCAACTTGGACGCTTTCCAGCTCGCAGTCATGCATAAGTTCGCGTCGGAGCTCCCGCCCGAGAAAGGGAATGCCCTTCTCAACGAGCTCGGCATCAAAAAGTCAGTGCCTGGCCGCAGGCAAGGGCAAGGCACGGAGGTCCAATCCGCCGAAGGTCGCCAGCGCGCGGCTGCATCTCGCCTCCAGCAGGCCCTGCAGCACCAGGTGCGAGTGCAGAAGATGCTGGAGGAGGCGGAGAGGAAGGTCGACGACGCGCTGGCCGAGGAGCAGGCGGCCAAGAAGGAGGTCGAGGAAACCGCCCGCCGCATGGCCCAGCGCTTGCTCCCGCGCGAGGAGCCGCCGGCGAAGAAGTCAGTCATCCACATCGAGGCGCTGCTGGCTGATCCAAACTCTCTCACGCTGGACCTGGGCGAGGATGTGAACATGTCCAGTGACCTGTGCTCAGACGAGGAGCGCAAGCAGCTGGATGAGTTGTCCACGAAGTGTGCTGAACGCGCCCGCCATCTACGCGGTGCAGCTTTCTCCCAAGCGCGTGGGGAAGCGCGGCAGCGACGCCAGGGGAGGGCCGCCAGCTTCGACCAGCTCAAGGAGGAGCGCAAGGCGGACGACGGGGCAGCGGCAATGGCAGATCCTGCAGAGCCCCGTTCGACCGAGGGCGCCAAGCCCCCTCCTCCTGCAGCCGCAGGCGGGTCCGCCGCCGCTGGCGCACCAGCCGCTGACCCGCTCGTGGCCCCGCGGCCGCCCGCGCCAGGCGACGCCGCCCTTCGGGCCGCCCGACGAGGCCGCCGAGGCGCGCGCCGCGCGGGCAGCTGCGCGGCAGGAGACAGGGGGCAGGGGCCAGGGCAGGCAGCGGCGCTGCGGGGACAGCGGCGGCTCCGCCCTGACGACTCGACGGCCGCCGCGCCCGCGGCACCGGGCCCAGCCAGGAAGGCGCCGCGCGCCCCTCCCAAGTCCCTGAAGATCACCTGCGGAAGTATATTTCAGTGGGGTACTCAATCTGAGCGTTGGCTGGCTGAGACCCAGCCCGACATTGTTTTTCTTGTGGAGACCCGAGCTTTGGGTCCAGGTTTGATGGAGATGCTGAAATCTATGAATCGACTGGGTTGGACAGCGGTGGCAGGGGCTGCCGACGGCACAGGCGCTGACTCGTCCTCTGCTGGGGTGGCTGTCCTCGCCCGCTCGCACCTTGGCCTCTCCGGCCTGTCAGTCGAGGCAGCGAGGGAGTGGTCTCGCAGTGCGTGCTCTCGCTGGTGCATGGCCACGCTCAGGCTTCGGCATCTTGTGACTACTCTAGTACATGTCTACCTCGTGTCGGTGCTGGTTTGAAAGGCAGGAACTTGCATGTGTCATCCCAATTAGGAGCACGTGTCGGCCAGATGGCTGGCCCTGTCCTCCTGATCGGAGACTGGCAGAATCCCGTCGGGGATCTTGCCAGGGCAAATTTCCTCAGCAGGCTTGGGATGCGTGAGACTCCCACCGGCCTGGCCGTCACGTGCGCGGGCGGCGGAGGCGCTGCAAGCAAGATTGATTTCAGCCTAGTCACCAGCAGTATCCTCTCTGCCGTTAAGTTTGTCGGCCTCGGGGGCCACCTGGCTCTGAAGTTTGACCTGCAGGCCTCGCCCAGGTTGATTGGATGCCTGCGAAGCATGGGGCCAAAGGCCATGGACGTCGCGACCGATCTTAGCAAGTCTTGGGGGCTGCCCTGGGACGAGGCTGCGCTCGGAGCCCGCGCCCTCCTGGACGCCGGGCCCTCTCGTATCAGAAGCAACCTTCAGATTGCCAAGCATTTAAGCGAGCAGCACGGTGCGCTCCAGTCCGCCGCCGACCTTGGCCGATCGCTCTCTGTCTGGGCGTGCGCCCTAGGGCTGGCCACGCGTGCAAGGAAAGGGTTGCCTGAAGCAGATTGTCCCAGTATGTAGGCAGATGTCAGGCTCCGCGCGCCAAGATGGCCCCTCTCGCCCCTAACCTAAGGCCTCAAAGGGTCCTCCTCTCGCTGACCAGCACGCTCGCTTTTGGAGGTCTCTCGATTCCCAAGTAGCTTTCTTGAGGCGCCTTGTGGACCCCAAGGCTGACCCCGAGGAACACATGGCGCCCCCAGCTTCGCGCGCCGGCTCCTGGAGGTTGAGGGGGGGGCGCGGCACCAGATCTAGAGCCACCGCGCCAGGCCTGAGGGGCTCGCCGCCCTGGCCCCCTGGAGACTTGCTGCTCTTAGCTCTGCGCCCGTGGCCCCCATCGGCCCCGATCGGGTGAGCACTGCTTTGCGGTCGATACCTGGCCGGCGAAGGCACGGCCTGGATGGGTTGCCGCCTCGCCTAGTCAAGGACGGCCCTCCCGAGTGTCACTCAGCTCTGGCAGCCCTTCTCACGGATATGCACGCTTCCGCCACTGTGTTTTTCCAGGAATTGTTAAATCTGATCTGTCTTCTGGATAAGGAGGGCGGAGGACTCATACCCATCGCCTTCTTAATTTGTCTTATGGACTGCTGTGCAGAATCCGCAGGCCAGCGATTGGAGCTTGGGGCAGGGCCAGCCACGGACCATAGGATAAGACAGTAGGCAGTTCAGCTGAGCATGCTGGCTGGATCGACGAGCTCGAAGGAGTTGGCGGTGCTAGGTGGGCTTTCTGTGGGGGGTGGTATGTTGGATATGCGCAAATTCTACGACCTAATCTACCTGCCCGACCTAGCCACCGCGGCCCGCCCGTAATTTGGGCAACCCTCTCAGGCTCCTGGCCCTGGCCCTGGATGTCTATCTCGGTCCTCGCCTTTTCACCCTCCAGAAACTTTTTTCCACTTGGACCAGCTGAGCGTCACCTCTGGTTAACGACGGTGGGTCGTTTAAACGTGACCCGTGGGCGGCATGCTCCCCCGATGAATGGTGAACGCCACGCAGCATATGTACACCAGCGCACCAATCATAATCATGTTTTGTCCGTCGGTGCGCAGCGGGGCACGTGCCAAAGCGAGCGTGGCGAACCCCAGCGCGGATTTGAAACTGGATGTTCCGAGTTCCGTGAATAGCCGCGTAAACTGGCCAGAGCGTGAACCTACGCAAGAGGAGGAGGACGAGGAGGAGGAAGAACACGCCCAAACAAAACCTCGCGCGTGCGTAGACCGACCCAGGTAGACGGCGCCCGCACAATAACCCTCGCGAGCACGGGCGGCACAGAGGGAGAGGAAGGAGGGGAGGAGAGGAAGGAAGACACCATCCAAGAACTTGCGCTGGTTGCTGCAGGGCGTGCGCGGCAATGCCGGCCCGAATCCTGCCGGGCAGGGGCGGGGCCGACAGGGCGCGAACGCCAGTGCGTTGGGCGGCCCGAGAAAAAACGACGGAAGGAAAGCAAAAAAGGGAGCAGAAGAAAAGCAGGGGGAAGGCGAACAGTGCTGGCCGCCCATGAAACCCTTCGCCAGGCGCTCGCGGCATACATAGGGCTGTTCAGGTGGCGATGTAGACGCAGTACCTTATGCGCTGGTGTGCCAGATCACGAACTGGGAGGTGGAAAAACTTACCTGTAGTTGTCCTGGTCGTGTGGCTGATTCGCCGGGGTCGGAGCCGGAGTCGATGCCGGCGGGATCGT